ACACACACACACACACACACACACACACACACACACACCCACAACACGTCCCTCCCTTTTGGAAGCCTCTCCTGTCCAGGTGCCTTTGCCAAAGATAGGTAGAGGGTTCACATTGGAGGGCACCCCACAGATGATCTAGGTACACAGATGTGGAAACTGAGGCTGAGAGGAGCAGGGACCTGCCCCAGACACATAGCCTGTCAGTGAGAGGACACCAGTAGGCTCACGACTTTGGCCGCGGCTCATTCTCCCTCCATAGCTGCTACAGACTTGTCCCCACATCTGAGTAAACACGTGCCTAGTGAGGGCTTTGCTGTAAGTTAATGTGTGAGGTTACCAAGGAGACCCAGGAAGCCTGGTCTGAACTCCTCTCCCTGGGCAGGTCGGGAGAGCTCTCGGCACAGAACTCTGGTCACCTGTGTCAGCAGCTCAGCAGCACTGCCGGGAGACAGGTGCAGTCCTGGGGCAGAGGCCTCAGCAAGCTCCCACCCCTGCTCAGAGCAGGACACCCTGTTGGGGAAAAGAAGGTTGCCAGACCACCCTCTGCCCACCTTTTCGGACAGAACGCCTAAGAAACCCTGAAGTGGTCTTCTTTAGAGATTGAGAACATGGATTTTGGAGTCACTTGGGCCCAGGTTAGAATCTCTACCACTCTGAAGCTGTGTGACTTCAGGCAACTTGCTTAACTTCTCTGAATCTATGTAATGAAAACAATCATCCCTACTTCGTTCCAAAGAGCAAACACACAATATAAATGTTGGCAACTATTGTTTATAACTTTATTAGGATACTGTTCTATTAGAGCATAGAGACGAGATGAATATTCTAATATAATATCGTGTGATATTCTCATAGACACACACGTACACAATTCATCTGTACACATGTATCTAGATACCTAGAATCTCATAACCACACACACAAAACTCGTATCAATCTCACTCACCCACAGTGGAACACACAGCAACCCTATGGACTCACCATGTACCAGGCACTGCTCCACCCTGAATCCTCACAAGAGCCCAGAAGGAGCGTGTGTTTGTCTCTCTCTTTTTTCAGATGAGGATATACACCTTACATGCATATGCACTTGCTGCATCCTGGGACGTTGACACTTCTAGCAGCACTAGAAATCCCGAACTCCCTCCCTCTGGAGCAGAGGAGGTCAACCCAATTTCCACGGTCATCTCGAGGGCAGCCCCAAGCTGGGCCCCAAGTGCTGACTGCCCTCCATCCCTAGGACAAAGGCCCAACCTGGCTTTCATGCCAGCTGCGGTTGGGGAACCCCCCTGCTGCCTGCTGCCGGCAGAAACCAAGTTGACTTTGAAAAGGAAGAGACAGAAGCCAGGGGGTGGCTGAGCCACTCCCTGTGGGGGCAGGTGCTAAGTAACTCTATAAACTCCAGCTAATGATACAATTACAGCCATAAACAAAGCTCCAAGAGGAATCAGGGCCAGAAGCCAGACCCTCAAAGGACAGCCAGGCCTGAAGGGTGGGAGGCTGAAAGGGGGCCTCAATGGCAATGGAGGTGGGCATTGGGTATCCCAGCATCCCAGGCCCCTGGATGGGCTCCTGCCTGCCCTAGCCCACCCCCTGTCCATCTGACTGTGAGTCACCCTGCCATCAGCCCTCGGAAGCCCAGCTAGTTTTCCATGAATGTAGTCTTCACCTGAGGGGATGTCCCCTGCCCCATGCCCTGCACCACTTCCGTGGGAGCTGGAATAGGATTCTGATTTGTCTGCACCTCGCAGAGGGCAAAACAGCACTGTAGCTGTAACAGACCTTGTAAACTGTAAGTAACGTTGGCCCCCTTCCAGAGAAGCGAGCACAGTCACCCAAACGGCACTTCATTTACACTTTCTGGTTCCCAGTTCTCCCACCCCAGCAGCCGGGGGCGGGGGGGGGGGGG